AAAAAAAAAAAAAAAAGAGAAAAAAAAGAAAAAAACCCCAAAACTGGCACCAGTCTTGGGAGCAGCCATGGATACAATCAGAGGTAGGGGCAGCAGCCAGAACAGGGAGAGTTGTCACAAGAAGGGTAGGCCTTGGTGGGGGGGACCAGGGGGAGGGCGGAGGAGGCATCGTGCCTGGTAATGGATGCTGGAGGGGAAAAGGAGGACACCATGCCGATCGGGGGCACTTTTTTACCCACCTCCCAGCAGTGCCACCACCTGGGTTTGCTCTTCTGTAAAATGGGGCTTGAACTAGACCAGGACTCATCCACTTTTTTAGGAGGCAGAACAAGTCGGGTTGTGGTGTTTGTGACAGAGCCCCCAAAGAAGGGAAAGCTGGCATCTGGTTTCATTATTTCAAGTTGAATTTACAGAGAGCTGTTTAATTAAATCAAACTGACACTCCATTATAAAATCAAATATGATGTCACAGCTGTGAGCTTGCAGTCCCAGGAGGAAAACAACACTGTCAAATGGGCACTGTCAAAATAAGCAGGTGGCTGCCTCCGAGTTTTCCCATTAATACTTGAGGGCTCCTTGTTCATTTGTCTGTCTGCTGGCATTTCTCTACCAACAAGTGGTTACAGGCACCAGAAGTGCCAGAAAAGTTTGTTGGAGAAAAAGGTAAAATCAAGAAGAGAGTGGCCATTAACTTACAAGGTTTTTTCTGTCCATTGGGGGAAAGCTCTGGTTCCCTTTTGGCAGAGGAAAACCTGAGTCCAGCTTTGGAGGTGCCACCAGCATTTCAAAAGAGCCTGGCCCAAGACGGATTAGATGGGAGGATGCTTAGGGCCTTTTCCCAGCCAAATCCGAGGGTCCTTTCCAGCCCCAGCTGCCACGTGAGTCACCATGCGGCTGGCCCTGGCAACACCTTGGGGACCCCGAGCAGGGCCAGGAGCAATTGTCCTATCTTTTGGTCCCAGCATCAGCTGTTCCCAGCCACAGACACAAGCACAACAGAGCGGGTCTCAGCCGAAAGCCTGGCCAGATGTCAGAGGGAATCAATGGGGAAAGCAAGCCTTGCGAGGCAGCCGGGCAGAGGCCCTAGGTTCCCGGGACAGCAGCCAGGGCAGGCTCATGTGCCTGTGACAGGTTCCAGGAGCAGCAGAGCCAAGCTGCCAGCTGTCCTCTGGTAGAGGCCACCCTGGCAACTGCAGAGGGGCCAGTGGAGCCTTGCAGTGGTCCCAGCCCAGGGACACACCATGTGTAGCTTGGAGTTCCAAACCCAGACAAGTGATGAGCCAAGGTCAGGGGCTGGGAAGCAATAGGAGACAGGTGGCCAAGGGCATTCATCCTTTCAACAGATGTTCGCTGAATGACAGCAACGCATGAATCTTCAGCATTCACCAGCTTTATTTTTATTTTTATTTTAGAAGGTAATACATACTCTTGGTAAAAATATTAAAAGCATATCAAGTGTACTAAAAGTGTATCAAGTAAAAGAGTAGACATCCCCCTTGTATGACATCTGCAGTTCTACCCCCCCCAGAGATAATCATAGCCAATGGCTTGGTGTGTGGTCTTCTGGATTTATTTCAGTGCATCTATAAAATGTCTATATACGTACATATAAACATACTGTCTTCTAACCAAATATAGGATTTTACTCTCCATTACTGTTCTGCAGCTTAGTCGTTTCACTTAACACCATATCTTATTATACATGTGAGCCCATATATCTATGTCATTCTTTTGAACAGCTAAATGAAATTCCATAGCATGAATATAATGAATGAAGCTTTCATCTGTTTCCTATTTTCCACTCTCACATGGCTGCAGTGAACATCCTTGGACGTATATCCTTGCACACTGATGAGAGCATCTATGCTACAGAGATCCAGCAGCGTCACTGGATCACGGAGTCGGCACGTTAGGATGTTTAGTAGATGCCAAACCGCCTCTGAAAACGGGTTACAGCCCCACTCTCAGCACGTGATGGTGCCTTGACAACAGCAGGGATTGTTAACAATTTAGGGGCTCTCAAACCTTTTGAGAAACAAATGAAATCTACAAACATGCCCGTCCATACGTTCGGCGTATAATTTTTTAAGAGTTCCCAGGCCCCCCGCCCTGAAGCCCAAACTGAACTCCAGGCTAAGACTCCTTTTTACAGGAAGCCCCAACAGGTCAGTGTAAAGCTGTGATGACATCTTTTCTCTGGAGCATCATTAGAGCCCCTAGGGAGAGCTGCTTCAGATCGGGCCGCCTGATTCACACGGGCAGCGCGGAGCCGGGAGGCAGAAAGCCGGGAACCTGCAAGCAAGGCTCTGCTCTGCTGGGTTAACCGGATTATTTTCTTGTGTGTGTCCTGCAGGTGACTGAAAATAACTAACCACCACAAGTCCCCGGGACTGTTTCGGACTTGGAAAGGTCACAGGAGGAAAATAATAATAAAGTGACAACTACATGAATCACATCTTGGTGAGAGTCTTATTAGCAAATCGTCCTCATATCTAGGGCCCTGAAAGCAAGAAACAGGCTGGGGTCGAGGCAGCTTAAAGGCCTTGGCGGCGGGGGTAAGGGTGCGGGTCCTGCAGCCAGGAAGACACCTGGAGGGACGGGCTGGACTCAAGAAGACCTGGGCCTGGCCAGGTCTCTCCACTGGTTAATTGTGTTCCCTGGACAGGTGACTTAACCTCCCCGAACACATGGCTCCCACGCCAGTCACCTTCCTGTGATGGGGTAGGGGGGAAAGTCAAAAGAAATAAGAGCTGGGGAAATGTTTCCTAAAAATCCGAAGTCCCCTTTATATAAGGAAGAGTAAAGAGTTAGAGCAAAATGAGGGGGGGCAATAGATGAAAGAGAGTCCATATTCACCTAAGGTTTTGTTTTGTTTTGTTTTTAAGAACACTGCAATATAGACAAAACTTGATAATTTTTAAAACTTCATTTAGGATTCACAGATTCTAACTCTTCAGACTCTAGTAGCCCCAAACTGCTGATCTAAAAGAGATGCTGGTCTGTTTGTCACCAAAATTTCCTGTAGCTCAGTGGTTCTCCAGTGGGGGCCCACCAGGGAGATTTGGCAATGTCTGAAGACAGTTTTCGTTGTCACGACTCGGGGAAGGGGTGCTGCTCGCATCTAGTGGGGAGAGGCCAGGGATGCTGCTAAACATCCCACAGTGCACAGGACGGCCCCACAACTAAGGATTCTCTGGCCCCAAATGTCAGCTGTGCTGAGGCTGAGAAGCCCTGATGTGGAGAAAACACAAGGGTCACAGGCCACAGCCACTAGCCAGGAACGGGCCACTGGCGAAGAGCCCTGTGGTGCCCACGGCGTTCTGCTCTCCTTCCTCCATCGCCGGTCATCTGGCTCCAGTTTGAAAGCTGCTAGGAGCCTGTCTGCAGCCCGGCGGGGAAAGAGCAGACCTCTACAGGCTACAGAATCCTTCAATGGGTGTCAGCCACAGCTGCAGGAAAGTCCAGGCCTCAGCCGCCACCAGGGCTGGAGCAGGAAGGTTTTGGGGTGAAAGGTAAGGCAGGGTGAGAGGCCCCAGCCTCATTACGTTTTAAAGAAAAGTTTTTTCCGGAGGAAATTAAAACAGCCAGGAATCTGTTTGTAAACTCCTTTCACTGAAACAGCATTAGCAACCTGTGAAAACACGACCACAGGGAGGCCTGTGAGTTCTCTTGACTGAAGTAAGAATTCCAAAGAAGGGCTGGGGGAGCGTCCACCAAGTCAGAATTTTATTTTATTTATTTATTTTTATTTATTTATTTATTTGGCTGCACAGGTCTTAATTGCGGAATGCGGGATCTAGGTCCCTGACCAGTGACTGAACCCGGGCCCACTGCATTGGGAGCATGGAGTCTTAACCATTGGACCACCAGGGAAGTCCCCACCGAGTCAGAACTTTAAAAACAACTCTAGGGCTTCCCTGGTGGCGCAGTGGTTGAGAGTCTGCCTGCCAATGCAGGGGACACGGGTTCGTGCCCCGGTCCGGGAAGATCCCACGTGCCGCGGAGCGGCTGGGCCCGTGAGCCATGGCCGCTGAGCCTGCGCGTCCGGAGCCTGTGCTCCGCAGCAGGAGAGACCACAACAGTGAGAGGCCCGCGTACCGCAAAAAAAAAACAACTCTAGGTACCTCCCTGGTGGTGCAGTGGTTAAGAATCCACCTGCCAATGCAGGGGACATGAGTTCGATCCCTCGTCCAGGAAAATCCCACATGCCGCGGAGCAACTAAGTCCGTGTACCATAGCTACTGAGCCTGTGCTCTAGAGCCCGTGCGCCACAACTACTGAGCCCATGTGCCACAACTACTGAAGCCCACGCACCTAGAGCCCATGCTCCGCGACAAGAGAAGCCACCGCAATTAGAAGCCCGCGCACCGCAACGAAGAGTAGCCCCCACTCGCCGCAACTAGAGAAAGCCAGGCGCGGCAACAAAGACCCAATGCAGCCATAAGTTAATTAATTAATTAATTTAAAAAAAAAAAACTCTAGCTGCAGCCTCCTTGAGTGTGTGTGTGTGTGTGTGTGTGTGCACGCACGCGCTGAAACGGGGTATGGGGGAGGGATTAGAGAACAAGCATCTCAACTATAAGTTTAGAAAACTCAAAATTCAGAAATGCAAAACTCAGAAATTCACAAAGTTCAAATCAGACTGAAAGGTTTGCATGAAGGAAAGTTGAGAGAAGAGACTGGGCCCAGGAGCCGAGTGCACTGCTTAGCCCTGATGGGCCCCCAGCTGCCTCTGAGACCTGCTCATCCGTGGCCATGGCTCATGGCGCCCCCTGGAGTCGGGCTGCGTGGTGGCCCTGCACCTGCTTTTCTTCTCTCCTCTGCTCAGCAAAGCTCAGAGCCGGAGCCTCCCCAGGAGGAGGTCCCAGCCCTTATAGCTCCTTCTCACGGCACAAAATACCTGAGCAGAGCAGGAGGGGCGCATGCATGCTCTGAGACGCTTGGAGGAAGTAACTGCTCTGAGTGGGGCCCTATCCGGCTGTCCTTCCCTGTTCTCACTGCGGCCTTCCAGAAGGGGAGACACTAAAAGGATTCATGATTCTCAAGAGTCAAGAGTAGAAGGCCGTGCAGTGGGGAAAGGGTGCAGGCCCCGCGACCTGCCTTCAGGGCCACGCTCAGGCACTGGGCCATCGCACCCTGGCACTGAGGACTGGCTCCATCAGTGGGCGGACTGAGGTGTCAGCCTGGGACCTCAGAGGCTGGGGAAAGCAGTCTTTAGCATGACGGGCAAATGTCACTGCAGGCAGTAATTTCCCGCATTAGAAGAAGCAAAAGCATCAACTCTCAGGGCAAGCCCGGTGCAGAAGAAACCTCTGGCTTGGGCTTGGGGCCCTGCTCAGCCCCACCACCTGCCCTGGGGAGGATACACTGGCCCTCCCACCAGCCTCACCCTGAGCAAGAGTGTCTGAAGGTCCTCGCAGTGAGCCCACTGCTCAAAAATGCTGTCCAGGGTCTCGATGTACCAGGAGCCACTCTTGGTATCCCTCCAGGAGACAAAACCTGCCGAAGGAGAAAGGCTGAACTTCATTGGGAAGCTGCCCCTCCCCACGTATGCAGACGGGCCCACCTCCACACTTTGACTGATGTACACAGCAGGCAGCAGCCCACATCTCTGTGCTCTGCCCCATCGTGATCTTATTTCATCCTCACCACTACCCTGTGACTTTGGTCACGGTTCCCATTTTCCTGACAAGGCAACCAAGGCTTGGAGAAGTCAAGTGATTCTCCCGAGGGATAAGAAAGGAAAGAAACTAACACTTGTCACACCTGCTATGTGCCAGGCACTGTGCTCAGTGGGGGAGCAGCCACCTTGTTAAAATCACCATGACAATCCCTAAGGTACAATGAATATACCCATTTTAAAGATGAGAAGACTGAGGCAGGGCCAGGACGAGGTTGAAGCGAGCGAGGCACACCAATGCAAGAATGCATGCCTCCTTACATTTTGCATTCTAGGCGCCTTGACTACCTCGCCCTGAGTTGAGGCTCAGAGAGGTGAAGTAACTTACTCAGGGTCACAGGGGGCAGAACGAAGTCTCACACGCAGGTCTTTTCTTCACAACACAGCTGCTTCTAGGGCAGATGGGGGGACCTGCTGGCTGGAAGGACAAGCTCTCACGATCCACTCACCTGGGAAGGTGGAGTAGGACACCAAGATATCGCTAGGTGTGGGCAAACTAGACACAGCATCCGGCTGGTCGACGGTGACTGCGCCTTCCTGGAACGGGGTAGCATCTGGCTCAGGGTCGCTGTCAGGGGTCCTGTCTTCAGGGGAAGTGGAGGCCACCTCAAACCCCTGGTCTTTCAGCTCTGCAGGAAACAGAAACAGACAACACTTGCCAGTGAAAACACCCAGACCAGAGCTCCCACTTCTTGGTGCCACCAGCCTGAGAGGCCTGATTTCCTCTGGAGCCAGGGGCCTAGTGCTGGACAAACATGGGCAGGAAAACAAAACAGGAGCTTTACTTTTACTATAACAAGAGTTTTCCACATTCATTAAGTAAAGCTGGGGGTGGGGGCAAGAATGCAGAAATGTTTAAAATAGCTATAAAAATAAGTTACAAGGTATACACCCAAAAGAATGGGAACCAGGTGCTCAAGCAAGAACTTGTGCAGCAATGTTCATTACATTATTCATCACAGGCAAAAGCTAGAAACCACCCACGTGTCCAGGGACAGATGAATGGATAAACAAAATGTCTATAAACATCCAATGGAATATCGTTCAGGCTTAAAAAGGAATGAAGTGTACTGATACAGAAAACAATGTGGATGGGCCTTGAAAACATGCTGAGTGAGAGAAGCCAGACACCAAAGGCCATAGAATATGATCCCATTTATATGAAATATCCAGAAGAGGCGAATCCACAAAGAAGAAAGCAGATTAGTTGCCAGGGGCTGGGAATGGAGTGACTGCTAACGGGTATGGACGTTCTTTTGGGGAAAGATGAAATGTTCTAGAATTAGATGGTGATGATGGTCACACACATTGTGAATGTACTTAATGTCACTGAATTGTACAATTTAAAATAGTTAAAAATGCTAAATTTTATGTCATTAAAAAGTCACACTGGGGGCTTCCCTGGTGGCGCAGTGGTTGAGAGTCCGCCTGCTGATGCAGGGGACACGGGTTCGTGCCTCGGTCCGAGAAGATTCCACATGCCGGGGAGCGGCTGGGCCCGTGAGCCATGGCCGCTGAGCCTGCGTGTCCGGAGCCTGTGCTCCGCAATGGG